TGGAGCAACCGTCAAATCAGCTGCATTTTACTGTGACGCCCCGGAGAAATGCTGTTGGTTTGACCAGTGAAGTGCATTTATTAAGTAAAAGTTCAACTGAGACGCACCTTTAATATAAAGTCAAGCAAACAAATAATTGTTTGTAGGTATCATTTTAAATTTAGAAGAAATGCACAGTGCGTCGTCCCTCTGTGCGCTCCCGTTTCCACGTATCGGCTTTTGAAATACAGTTGATTTTACCATCAAAGTGCATTTATTAAGGAAAAGTTCGACGGAGACACGACTTTACTGTAATTTCGAGCAAACAAATAATTGCTTTTGTGTTAATCTTGTTAAATTCTTGTTAGGGTCCTCCCGTGTACGCTCCCGTGGCCGCCATTTGGCAGCCAATCGATTTTTGGCACAACACCGGCGCACATTTCCAGGTCGTCAGCGGTGACGCATGATGGATGCGACTTATATGGTAAAGCAACATATTTATGTTTTTTCTATTTTATTAGACATATGATGATGCGACCCATACGGCGGTGCGATGTGTACTGTGGAAAATACGGTAACTTAATGTACATCTACAACCAAGTACTTTTTAGAGTCAACCTGATTCAAGATGGCTGCCACCATGGATCAAACTGTATAAAACTCTCTGTAACTGTCAATTTTACAGATATGGAGCTACATTTTGGTGTGGTAGTAGCTGAGAGTCATCTCCAACACATATTCTGAGCACATCGACTTTAGCACCATTGTTTCCAATCAAGCAAAACTTTATCTTCAAGATGTGACCCCCTGAAAAAGGCTCTATTTTCCAGCTTGAGATGATTTTAGTTTTTAAGTTGTGGTGAAATCTGTGCTGACATATCTGTTCCGCTGTCCCTGAAATCTCGTTGGGGCTATTCTGTATGTGTGTGTGTTTTCTCCAGCAGACTGTGTTGGCCTGAGCTCAGCGAAAAGAGCGTGTGTCTGTTTGTGATGCCGGTTGTGCGGCGGAGGTGGCGTGCAGTCATGCTCAGTCAAGGGATGCAATCACAAGCGTCCAGGGCCGAACTCTGCCAGCTCCAAGCTGCTCTCTGCTGAGCTGCGACGCAGAGGAACAACTGCTGCCGGCGAGGGAATGCAACAGAAATCCCTCCTTAAAAAAATCTCATTTGTTGCGTTTGATAAAAAGCATCTGAGCCTCACAGATTCTGGAATTTTCTGCAGCACAATTTCAGATATTTTCAATTAAAAGTTTCTTGGCGAATCAATAAAAGTATTAATGTCTCCACTACGGATGACACAAAAAAGATTAGTTGTTTAATTACTTGCAGTCATTTCAGATCCTCTGAAATAGTCTGTGTAAGAGTGTGTGTGTGTTGTTGGACAGGGAGGACATTAAACTTGTTGCTTCTCATCAGTACAACTATCTGCATGGCATTAAATTCATTTTTTTTTTGGGGGGGGGGGGGGGGCATTTTTTGGCTGTCTTCTGCTTGACTGAGGGCAACAAGTGAACCCCGAGCTCTGATGTGAGTCACTGAGCAGAAGCAGAAAGTTCACAGCTTCGTGTGGAACCGTCAGCGACTCCGTCAGTGTTAATGTGAGCTCCTTTCACACATCCAACGTGCCGGCATGAATCAGTGAGCGTGAACTCTTCATAAATCGTCCAGCTCCACCAAAAGCACCACATAATGTCATATTTGATGAATCGGTGCATTCGTTCTGTTGGCAAAGGACAATTCTGGGAATTTCACCTGTGTGAATGCTTCACACAGGTGAATTATGTTGATGTGAGGCGGTCATGCACTGTAAAAAATGGTTTCTAAATCTTTGATGTGGCAGATTTTTTTTGGAGTGTTTGACAACATGAGAGAAATAATGTCTGTCTAGCCGACAGAAACATTTCTAAAGTGAGAACAGGAAGAGCTGCAGTGAGTCATCTTTTATAAAAAACAACAAACTTCTGCTGATTTGTGTTTTCTAACTTTCTAAATGATTGTTCTCCAGAAACACTCTAAAGAAAATAGACAACTTCCTTTTAGAGACGTGCATCTCACAGACTTTTAGATTTAGCGGCTTACTAATATTTTATTGGACTCCAGTGTTTTGTAAAATACAACATGTAGTTAATTTTTTTATATACAAGCTTAAAAAGGAGCACATGCACACAAAGAAAAATATAGATGTGAATTTTATCATCCAGTTTAAACACCTAATGTTTTATTATTATTATTATTAATTTTTTTTTTTTGCAGAAGTTGGCTTGTTCAAACTCCTAATGCTGCAAAAATAAGTGTGCCAAGGCTGCAGCTGTTTTAATAATATCATCACAATGTCATCACTGTATGTTTCCATACAATGGCAAAATTAGTCTCTGCATTTAACCCCTCCACCACCAGGTGGTGCAGTGGGCAGCTATTGAAGGCACCCCGGAGGCATTTTTGGGGATAAGGTGTGCTGCCCAGAGACACCACGAGGTATGCAGTGACCGGGGATTGGACCAGCTGCCCTGCCTCTACACCATCTCGGCTCCCATACGGTGTGTGTTTTAAGTTTCAACAATTTGGGAGTGGTGGATCAGAGTTTAGAGAAGATGGGAAGATCGTTGGTTCAACTCCCGGGTTGCATTCGAGCCCAAAAAATTTGACCCGATCTGGCCCCAGCCCGTAGCCATCATTTCCGAACCCCACCCGACCCAACAAGTTAACACTAATTACTGGTTTGAACCTGAGAAACAACCCCTGACATTTTGAATTAAGCTTCGACTGATTATAGCTATTAATGGATGGCGGACGTGTGCGGCTAAGGAGGCAGAAGATCGGAGCTGAGGAGGTGTTTGTCCTTTCGTGGCTGTCAAAGCGCATTAAATCCCTGCTTCTGCCTGCATTCTGCATTATTCAAACATGGACCCTGCTCTGACATGTCAGATATTTTGTGATCTCACCTGTTTGGGTCATCGGCCGCTCGTGTCCGCTGAGCGCAGCGGCTGAATGAACGTCCATTTGGGCTGATGGATCGCTGGCAGTAGTCCATCTGAAGCTTAACTGAACTTTTTACCTCTTTCAAGGCAGGTCAGCCCGCATGTCGTTGGTGAAAGTATGGCAAGCCATGTTGCCGTATAATTGGATCATCAGCCACGCACGTCCGCTGAAGCAATCAAAAGCCTGACACCAACCCGGCCCACACATCAATCAGATTATTATGGCCTGGCCCTAATTTGGGTCGGGCGGGGCCGGGCTCCAGGTTAGAAATGACAGCTCTAACTTCTGGTACTGACATCAAAATGTGGATAGGTGAAATACCCACACCTGCCTCCAACCTGATTTGCTCCACTCTGGGCCCTTGAGCAAGACCTTTAACCCCCACCATCTGCTCCCCAGCCCTCTGCTCCACACAGAGGGCTGTGGTAGCTCGTGGTCTGTGGTTGTGTCAGGAAGGACATCAGGTGCAAAAATAATTACCAAGTATTTGTGAGACTTACTTTGCTGTGGTGACCCCTGAAGAAGAGAGCAGCCGAAAGAAGAAGAAAAAGTTTTAAGTTTCCACAACTTAAAAAAAAATGTGTAAAATAAATAAGAAAGTGTGTGGCTCAATTGGGGAAAGTATGCTATGACTTTTGGCAGTGGTACTTTGAGATGTTGCAAAATTTGCTAGAATCAGTGGAAGATTTTCCCGTACCCAAGAAAATTTTGACAAAACAAGTGAAAAAACATGGCTCTGTATGGAATTATAGCTGAGTCATACTGCAGTAGAAACATCATTCAGAGTTTAAACCAGTCACAGAAAGTTGGACTATACATGTCTGAACGGGCATTTTTATATTTTTAATGATTTTATACAAATGCAGTTACAGTTTCATCATTTTGGATATTTGTTCCCCCAAAATGTTCAATTGTCTCCAACTTCTGAGCTGTCTGAGCCTTTCAAATTATTTTTGCAAAGAAACTTTCCTTACTCCAAACATTTTATTAATACATGTGCAAATTACACAAGAAAACATCTGTCTAGTGCGTCTCTTACTGCTTTAGGACAGTAAGAGAACCTGAGACTTTTGTCTCAGATCCCCTCAGAATAAAAACTTCACAGCCAAACTTTCAGATATTTGAGCTCAAATTATTTCTTTCAAAACCAGAAGTGAAGGGTCATAAAAAAATAATAAAATAAAAATCAAACGTGATCAAAGTTTTCTTCCACTCCTGGTTTGCAAATATTTAAGATCTGACTTGTAGTTGCACAGTGTCTGTTTCTTTGAGGCTTACTTTTCAGTGCGCTTCTGTCTGCCACACCTGGGAGTGACAGACACAGGTGTGTGGTTACCATGGTGACCAATGATTGGACCTTAGGAGAAAAAAAACAAAAACCTCCAGTTGATTCTATTGTTGTCAGGAAAATATGAGACTTTTATAAAGATGTGCACCAGAACTTGTTAAGGATAAAGTCGGTCATTTTTACACCTCCGTGTTTTACTTGTTGCAGGGTTTTCTCTATAATGAGGTATTTTTATTCACAACATTGTTCCATAAGCTGAGACAGGCTGGGCACTATGACCCAGCAGCTGGTCCACTCTCCGTGAGGGAGTAAAAGTAAAGAGAAGAACAAGGTTGTGATCAGTGGCGTTTTGTTTGATGTCAGAGTGTGTATAAAACCCAAGGCTTTGGCTCGGCTCACCGATGAACCACGAGGGGCCCCGAGGAGCCACAGCTCTGGAGATCTTCTGCCCTACATGCGGATTTATCTGTGACATCCTCCCAGATGTTGAGCCATCAGGACGCACCCTTTCCCGTTTCATTTGCTGTGCGTAATCCCACTCACAAAGTACTAATTTGTGGATGAAGAACGGAAAGAATGACTGGACGTTCTGGTGACTGGGAGCACTGGTGGAGAATATGAAGCAGGGAGGAAGTAGTTTTTGTGTTTTGACCTGGTTGTGCCATTTCTCGGAGCGGATGGCTCGGACCAGGCGGCGCGCACCGAGAAGCAGGAGCTCCTTGATTCTCTGACTTCAGTGCGTAAAACCAGAAGTGATGGAGCCCTTTGATGAAGTCGAGCCCGTGAACGCGTCCAACGACAGCTTCCCTCCTTCCGCTGTGGACGAGAGCACGGAGAGCCTCGCCTTTCAGATCAGCCTGGCTCTGCTCCTCTCGGCCATCACGCTCGCCACCACTTTGTCCAACGCTTTCGTCATCGCGACCATCTCTCAGTCCAAGAAGCTGCAAACTCCGGCCAACTTCCTGATCGCCTCCCTGGCCGTCACGGACCTCCTGGTGTCCATCCTGGTGATGCCCATCTGCGTCCTGTACACGGTGACGCACACCTGGACGCTCGGGCAGGTGGTCTGCGACATCTGGCTCTCCTCGGACATAACGTGTTGCACCGCGTCCATCCTCCACCTGTGCGTCATTGCCTTGGATAGATACTGGGCCATCACGGACGCGGTGGAGTACTCCAAGAAGCGCACGCCGGCGCGCGCCGCCGGGATGGTGGCCACGGCGTGGGTGATCGCCATCTCCATCTCGCTGCCGCCGCTCTTCTGGAGGCAGGTGAAGGTGGAGGAGCTGACCAGCTGCAGCGTCAACACGGACCACATCTTCTACACCATCTACTCCACCTTCGGGGCTTTCTACATCCCCACGCTGCTGCTCATCGTCCTCTACGGGCGGATTTACGTGGAGGCGCGCAAGCGGATCCTCAAGCAGTCCCCTAAGAAGGCCGGGAAGAGGCTCACCTCCGCGCACCTCACCAGCTCCCCTGCGTCCGTGGCTTCCACGACCCCCCTGCAGTGCGGGAGGCACGACCCCCCCTCCAGCGACACGGGCTCCTCCATCAGCGACAACCAGGTGAAGGTGACGGTGTCCGACGCGCTCCTGGAGAAGAAGCGCATCTCGGCGGCCAGAGAGCGGAAGGCGACCAAGACTTTGGGGATAATCCTCGGCGCCTACATCGTCTGCTGGCTGCCATTTTTTATTTACACCCTGCTGGTGGCCACGTGCGACACGTGCCTGAACCTGGAGCTGTTTGACTTCTTCACCTGGCTGGGATACCTGAACTCCCTCATCAACCCCATCATCTACACCATGTCCAACGAGGACTTCAAGAAAGCTTTCCAAAAGCTCGTGCGCTTCAGATGCTGCAGCTTGTGAACCCATGGATGAGACTGATTTATTTCTCGTTTATTTAATTACATCTTTAGGGGGAACTGGTGATACGGTGCATGCAAAAGCAAAAAGAAACCCATCCAAAATGGAGATAAAACGTGAACTTAAGATGTGGAATATTGACAGGAGAAACAGATCAAATTTGTTGTTATGTCAAGAAAAAAAAAGTTTCATAGTTTTTACGCACGTTGTGTTGAGCTGTTGGATGTTGCACTGACCCATAAATGTGAAGATAAGCACAGAAAACGGTTTTATTTACTGACCCACTCAATTTTAACAAGGTTTTATTTTATGTCTGTTTTTTTAAACATCTATTTTGATCATAAGAACTGTTTTTTTTTTGGTTAGACAGTGGCAAGAGAAATAGCTCAAGATCTCATATGAGACCAACCTGCAGCTGATATTTACAGAGCTGAACGCTCATGATGAGCTCAAGTTTGCTGACCAAACATCAGCCTGTGTCACGTGCTTTACCTCCTTATTGCTGCAGAGGTTGACTCAGTCTGACCCGAGGAGCCATGAAACAATGGAGGATTTGTCAGCATCATCATGAAATACAAACATATATTCCAGGACTTTGTGCAATAAAGACTTTAAAGTATTTGTCTGGCGTGAAGTTTCCATATGTAAGGGTTTTATCGGAGAGATTAATAGTTTGGAGACAGGGCGCCGCAACCTTTACCAGTTTGTTTTGTGGAACAAAATGTGTCTGAAGCTGCAAAACGTGCTACAACTGTAAGCACAAATTGGTGGCCCGTGGGCAATCTCCAGACTGCTGAGATTTCATTTTCTGGACAGTGTGGGTGGTGACCCAAGCACTTAAAGATTGAAAGGTGGCACAACTCCTTCCATGTTATACTGCATTGTTTGTTTGATTTTTTTTTTCTTATAAAAGCCGATACCTTTAAATACTTCAGCTTTAATTGTTTTTATTAAAGTTAAAGTTTTACATCGAAGCAGCCGGACCCGTATTTTACTTGCACTTTCTCTTATTTTTCTCAACTTGCCTTATGCTCACTAAATGGTAGTTTTGAGATAAACATCATATTGCATGTCTGGACGCTGGGCTAACAAAGTGGCTAACAAACCCTTATGGTCTGATCAGTTTGTTAGTGGCCTTGTGTTAGTGTCATTTTTGAGACAGAAATTTTATTCGCTTGCAAAAAAACCCAAAAAAACCCCAGCTGGAATTGGTCTATTTTATTGAGCTTCTGAAGGTTAAAAATATAAAATTTTATGTTAGTTCTGCTTTAAAGCTACAAAACGCTGTTGAAAATGGACCAAAGAGCTCGAAAGCTGCAGGCTGTCCTTATAAAATTAAACTCAAAATAAAAAATTACGGCCTGTTTGATGTGTTAAAAGCCTTTTGAGCGAGTTAAAGATTCAACGAATTCTGCAAAACCTGTTTTGGTGTTTTCTCGAGGTACTGCTGCAGATGTGCAGGAGGACACATCTGTGTAATCAGAATTCAGTGAGTTCTGAACGGCAAATTTCTGTCACACAATCACAAAGGGACGGTCTGTTTTTAAGGATTTTATAATGACAAATACAGATTCGTTATAAAATTGACCTGAAACCTGTGGATTGTCACACTAAAACTGCTTTCCATAATTTTTCTTCCCTACGAGTATAACATCCATCCATCCATCCATCCATCCATCCATTATCTTTACCCGCTTATTCCATTTCGGGTCACGGGGGTCGCCGGTGCCCATGTCCAGCAATCACTGTGCGAGGGGCTATAACAGAACATAACAATTTCAATCAATTATCGGCAAAAACGGACAAATATTACATCACTTCTTTCAGATTTTAGGAAAACAGACTGTTGAACTATTTTCAGCATCGATTGACCTTCCTAATGATCAGTTTAAAATAAATAAAAAAAAAGTAAAAATTGTGCTGAATAAAAAAAGGCTGCACACAAAAGAGCAGGAGAGGCTGAAATATTAATTGTGTCAGCCTACAAGGTCTTCTTGCAGGCAAACAAAAGAATAAATTCAATGGGAACAACTCATAATTACCTACAAGAAGGGGTTTGTCCCGTTGGATGCTTTATGTGTGAAACAATTAAATATGCATAATGTTGAAGGAACAGATTAGTGAGCTAAAGATTGTGTCATTTTCCTGATCTGTAATGTAAAATGTGATATTTTTCTAAATTATGAATAAGGCTGCTATTTATTTATTTGTTATTTTTTATGGGAGAGATGAGAGAAAATCATGTTGCGAAGTTGGATTTGATACATCTGATCTGTCAAACTCATTTTGGTCAAACGCTGATGTCGAAGACGATCACCCAACGATTACTGTCTGACACTTTCATTGAATTCCATCGTGTGCTTTGCGAGATATTTTGCTAAAACAGCCTTTCATTATCGCCCAATCACTATCACCCTTTCACTTTTGGCATGAAACCAACCATTTTTAAAAAAAATTACACACTACTGTTTCACACTGTCCTTACCCACAAGCCCCCCTGTCAGCACGCAGAGTGACAGTGACATGTGAGGCTGACAGCTCCGAGCCGAGGTGAGGAGCAGGTTACATGAGGCTGGTTCTTTATTCTGCTCCGACAGATGTTACCCAGAAGATTAAACCTTCTGACTGTTGAGATACATTAATCACATCATGTCTTAATCAGCTGATTCTGTTGCGTTACTGATGGCAGGTCTGCTGTGGAGTGAAGGGCGCAACAGTAAATGATGCTGAACACAACGTTAATGAAACTATAAAATATTCCTTTACTGTATGGGCGTTGGTTAGCAGCTTTATTGTTTCATCCTTTGTGATTAATGGAGGTTTGCAGCACCTGAAAAATGGAGGCATAACAGGTTATCAACTATTAATAAAGGACAAAAAAGGGATACCAACTGACCTTGGCAGGGAGTAAACAGCGTCAGCAGTGAACATTTAGAGTGAATACTAATTAGCAGTCAGTTTTGATATTAGCTTTTAGTATTTAGTGCTTTGATTAATGGCAGACATCTGTATTTCAAACACACAACACCCCGAACAGAATAAAATTCAACATACAAATACAAATATGATCAAAATCAAATGACAAAAAGGTGACTCTTAATTATAAAGTCATCAATTTCTGGAAATAAGTGCAGAAAATGGAGAGATGGGTTTAAAGAGGTATACCCTGCGTTATTTCAGAGGCTGAAGGTGCCATGTCAGTCTGTGAGTGTGTGTGTGTGAGTGTGTGTGTTACATCACAGCCTTCAGTTGTACATGTTCTTTCTGTTCTTCACAGATGATTTTTGTCCACAAGCAGTTTTTTTTCCTGCTGCTCAACAACGGTTCACAGTACTTTGCATTAGTTTTGCTTCCTTCTTGCCTACATTCCATTTAAGATGATTATCTGTGACACAGCCCAGCTTAAAAGTAAAAATAAATAAATAAAATGAATATGTGTGTGAAAATAGAGGTTGATTCTTACGTTCTTCAGTTGCCTAAGGAAAAGCATCCAGTGTTGAGTTTTCTTGGCTAAGTGTGGCCTAAAGACTCAAAGAGAAATGCATGCGGACAATAGGAAATGTAGGTTGTTATCCACATCAGCTGATCCATCAAGATGTTTGGCGTTACTGGTGTATATCCCAAAGTTGTTGAAAGGCTAATCACAAACAACTTCCTCAGCTGGTTTCTGCAGAATAAGGCAGCACATACAGCAAAGTAAATAAAGAACAACAATAAATATTGGACCGAACACACATCCCTGAGGAACAGCTGTGCTAAGTTTGATATAATCTTAATGTCAACATGCCTGTTATTTTTTTGACTGGCAGTTCAAGTTTCATTCAGATAGTCACATTTCAAGCTATAGCAAAGCACACAGATCTGTTTCCTCCAAAAATAATTAACTATACTGGAACGGCCCACCAGTCCTTACTGGAAACAAACAAACTGTTGTATAATAACAATGTTGTTTGTGCTTGGCTGACATTTAAGGTGAACTTGAGAAGCTGCTGCTCAAAAGGGCAAGCACAATGAACTTTATATCTTTGTTTGGAAAGTAAGGACATTTATTTTCACTTCTAATAGAAAATGAGAACAAGTGGACACACAGCTGCCTACAAGATGGATTCAGTTAGCCAACACGTGAACTGTCAGCTTTTAAATTTAATACTCTGGAAGCAAGAAAAAATACAAGTGTGTGCACTTGCTGGCTCCATGTTTCATTAAATAATCTTAAAACCAGCAGGTGTTGTGGAGGGTTTTCACTGAGCGTCTAATTGTTGGACAACTACTCAAATATCATTTTTGCACTCTCTCCAGCCCCTGCACTGCAGTTCTACCTCCTTTATTTATTTTATGTCATGTTATACTCATGTTCTGATCTGGCACTTCCTCCTACTGTTCTTTGCCTCCAGTTTCTCTTTCTGTTCTGTGTATTTCATCTCCTCCTATGTGTTTTTTGCGTGACAGTCCCTTCTAATCAGATGAGAAGAATTGTGGGAAATTGCACACTTTCCCGACTAAAAATAATTTCTTAACCAGTAAGATTATGATCAGATTACTCTAATTTGTTTTGTTCCTCTCGTATATGCCACATTTTTCCTCTTTTCCTCTGTACCAAGGACACTAGTCAGTCAGAAGGACAAGTTCAAGTTTTAGCAGCCAAACGATCTTTATATGAGTCTAAGTTTGGATGTTTTTTTTTTAATTACAGTGATGATGCAACCATGTCCTACGTGACGGTCGGGAATGGCCTTGGCCTGCCAGGAGTCCAGCAGGTCAACCCTGCTGCGCCTCCTAAATATGTTTTACAACCACAAATAATTTGTTGGTGATTGATTGGACACGATTTTTAGAAGAAATAAGAAGTAGGTCATTAAAAATGTGCCAAATGAACCTAACGTTGCACGTCTCAGGTGGTCACATGACTCTCTGTGGGACTCCTGATTGAACTGAGCTGGTCATTTTCTACAGCTCATGGTGTCAGACCAAAGCTCAGCATTTACTGACATAACGTTTTACAA